TGATGTATATGTGTAGGCATTCTCACCAACTGCACACATAATCCAGGGTTTGATTCTCCGCCAATGAAGCACTCCTAAGCCTTATTTACTTTACTTTACTAGATATTAGTAGGTCGCGTTGAAGAGGGATGGCTGCACGTGTGGCCAGTAATTCAACCTGTAGAAGCTATGTAAAGGTTCCAGGAGCTTCATAGCTTCAAGCTTGACGTCCTATCTTCCTCTGGGAACTGAAAATGTCAAAAAGAATTTGAACTTCTAGCTCCTTTTTGATTCTTCACTTTATTAGTACTCTTAGTATATCTTATGTGGACTCTAATAAAGGATTTAACCAAGTAGTTCCAAAAATTATATATTTGTATAAATCACAGAGAAACTGAAATAAACCATTCTAACGTTTAGTGTGCCAAACTGGTTCCAACTTCTCAAAAGAAAAAATATCAAAATTAAAATGTCAGTGGTATATATATATATATATATATATATATATATATATATATATATTGATTGAACACTAGTTAGTAACTAGTGAAATGTGTCTAGTTCTACCATTGGTGGAGACCGAATTCTGTCAGTCAACTTTGCTATATATGTTATATAACTCCGAAGTATTTCGAAATTTGTCGGGGAGCGGCCAGCGTTGCTTACATTTTCAGCAATATTTGGAGTACACCGACATGAACTTAATCAGCTATCAGCATTTCGAGTATTTTGCGAAATATGATACGTGTTATTGATTGGCTATATTATGCCCACCTTACTAAACGTAGCACGCCTAAATACCCAGTCAACCAGTACTGTACCTGACTTGTAAGTACTGATAACAGAATGCAAATGAGAAAGACTCAGCTACTGAGTCATGTGCTCTGGTGACCAGTATATCTGAATAGAATAAAAGGTTAAGGCTACTTAAGGGGAAGGATTCACAACGTAACTAGCCAATATGGCTGATCTACCGACCTGGACAGAGTCTGTGCATGTTAACCACACAAGAAAGAGCCTACTTGGATGTGTATCCGTTAAAACTAATTTTAAAACACCTAGAGAATCTATAAGACGGCTAGACATCCATCCAGCTATTATGAAGTTAACTCGGTTTGGATACAATTGGTGGATGGTGACTAGCACCAATTGTATCCTAACTAAATGCCCAGATATCGTCGAAGCATCTGCACAAGAAGCCGACATGTCAACCTGAGACCGAGCACTTCGGTCCAATCAATCGACGGGAAAATAAAAAAATCCAATTCATTAACTCGTTTTGATCTATTATTTCTAGCCCTAGGTTCATTTTGGCTCTGTTGAAGGTATCTATACTAAACGTCCTTTGTTGCATACTGGGCGTGATAAATTAAGGTCTGAAGTCTTCATCAGCGACCAGAGATATGGAGACATTTGTATCGCCAAAGATTGTTTACAGAGTATACGGCACAAAATGTTTCTCATTTTAGATATGATAGACAGGATTTATAGCTCAGGTGGATGATTTTGATGTGGTTGTGTTCTCTGAGCTGGATAGTTAATTTACTAAGCTTTCATCACCCTACTAGGTGACATCTTCATGGCATATTTCAGTTTGAAGTGAGCTTTTAGATTTCTCCACGAGTTTATTAATCATCTCAACTGGTCGGTGACCACCTTGGACTTAATTGGTTGTTCTTGTGTGTTTTCACACCTTCTAGGCAGCTACTTGTATTGGAACCGATTGTTTCTTTGACTTGATTTTTGACCCTTTGTGTGTGAGGTTTCTTTCTTATCGGTTGATAAATTTTGTCTATCTCGATATGTATACTGACTGATGATTCAATGGAATACCAAACCGTCAAACGACATGATATCCACTCCTCATATCACTACATACAGATAACCACGGACGTCAATTCGACTGGGAGAACGTTCAAATATCAGAAAGAGGAAACAACAAAAATGCTAGAGAATTTTCAGAAGCCTGTCTGGTATTCCAGTGAATCATCAATCAATAGACACATTGCAAAATGGTTATTGAAACATATAGAAAATCCCGACGCAATTAATCTGGATAGAAATCCAGCATCATCATCATCATCACCCATTGCAAAACACTTATTAATGTCAGGTTACAAAATCAAAAATAATGACTGTTTCACAATTATTTCATCACATAACTCTAATTCAAGGTTGGTTATGAACGGTGATGGGAGCACTTTGGATCAATCACATACAGCCTAAACTGTGTGTACAAAAAACAATAGACTTCAATCTTCGCCTACCATGAACTGATTACTTGACCTATTTAAGTATGATTGGTCATTAGTATGTACTTTTGTTTTTTATTTAACTGAGTAATTGTCATGCATTTTATTTTATTATTGTTAACCATGTTAGTTGTAAAGCGGTAGTAAAGAAACTACGAAATGGTATCATCTCGCGAAATTTGTCTTCTCAATGCCTTATTCAAATTTATCAAAGGGACTAATTGTTTTAATTTTCTTCAAATATCACATTCTCCGGACAAATTCCCGACTACATTACCTGGTTTATTATTATTCGGAAAAGGATTTAACTTTGAGTGATCATGAGTGATCTGAATATTCTGGCTTTCTAAGTGAATTCTTCGGGAAACACTAACTCAAAATCTGTAATTCACTGAGATGATGCGTTCGTCTACCTGTCCTCTCAAGTACCTGCCGATGGTTTGGGCGGTGTGAAATGGTTAGGGCCTTCGAAATTGAGTGATCCATCCAGATAACAGTAATATAAAGGATCGTTTTCTTTCTTGTGATCAGCAATGAGAAGATCTAATAAATTTATGGAGTCAATTGGTTCTCAGTGATTGGTTTTTGTGGCATAGACTATTTATGCTGATCCAAACATACAAGTGGACTGATGACTTTCAAAAATAACTACTCATTTGAGGGCGTAAAACCAATAACTCACATATCCATGTAGTTTATGACTTCATGACAGGGTTAAAAAGAACGAGCATGTGATTTAGGGGGGGGGGGGGATCTTATATCATTTACTGATGGATTTAAATTAAAATTTGGCTCCAGTCCCTTGATCAACATTTATTTATTCAAACAAATAAATATTCCACTGTAGAATGAAAGTTTAGTGGCAAAGTTTCTAACTATGTTGCTAGATGACGCGAGTCTGAATCTCAGAAGGAATATTCTGTAAGGTTGCAGATACGCCTTACCAAATAGTCAGTGTTAACAAACACAAAGCCTAGCTTCGACAGGACTTCCAGTAGATTAATCTCAGCCGTATAATATTGTCAAGTGATCATTATTATATTATTTATTGTTCCCTGAAGTTCCGATTGGAAAAAAAGGGCTTCAGAAACACACCTCCGTTTCACTGTATTCTCTTTAGTCTTCTCTAGCTGACCTCCAAATTGCCTATAGGCTTTCACCTCCTCATTACATGATCTCCTTCTCGCACCGATGGCTAACTTACTACGTCCCACCTCAGGTTCCAGTACGCGATGTCTCTTGACGACCTTCTCGAATTACATTTCTTCTATTTATTTGTTCAGTGATAGGTTCTTGGTAGATTTTTTCCCAGAGACCCTAATTTCGTTCTCTAAAGTGAATGCAGAATATTACTACACTGATTTCAGAGTGATGAAGGTCTGCCTTGCCTTTCCGATCTTCCGTGACTCCGCCTGTAGTTAATATGATGCTGCCAAAAAGGCGAAATAAGTGACCTAGTTCAAATTTGTTCCATCGAAAGTAACTGCTGCTTGTTGATTTTATTGGTCAGGTATCTTCATAACCACCGTCTTTGATTTGTCACCTTGAAATCCTGCCTTTGCTGGCTTCCACTTCTGCTAGCTTATTGGTTTTCACTTGTGAGGAGTCTGCGACTTTGTGTGACACTAGACATTAGTCATCCACGAAGTTCACATCTTCTAGAGTCTTGTTTTCAGTACTACCTATTCCAGTCTTCTCGTTACTCAAAGTCTTCCACATGGTCCAATCCAGTCTTATCTTAATCATAAATTCTTTTCAAAGATTTTTACTAAGTCTTCCACTGTGAATCATCTGACATGTGACATCATCATAATATAGCTGTCGAATTAGGTAGTGAAAGGTATGGGGCACTTCAGTCTGTATTGTTGAAGCAGTTATTTAGTCACTTCACCGCCAAAAGCTTTCGAAGGCTTTCCGAAGAACGATAAAGTTGCGGCTGAAATTCGACTGCCATCCAATACTGTTTTCGATTATGATATGTGGAGTATGAACTTGATCCGCAACTGATTTGCTTTCTCTGAATCGAACCTGTTCTAGGTGGAATTTTGCAGCTAGCGCACCTATCAGTCTCTCCAGGATGACACAACCTACTATTCTACTCGGCGTGGACAACAGCATAACCTTGTGGGGAGACCTGGCTGCTAGTCAAATTGGTAGACAATAGTTTACGTCAGTGTTTACGTCCCCAATATTGGTCGTGAGAAAAATATGCACAAAGACTGATTCAACAACCAACCACAACGGACTTTGCGTAGGCAGATACAATTTGCAGATAAATGATCTAACCTTCAAGAAACAGCCACAGCCAAAGAGATGAAAGATTAACTTTCAGTGAGAAACAACCACCAGTCAGAAGGCTGTGTTTTTCTGCTAACAATAATCTATAATAATGTACTTGAAAATCTATAAATATGTGTTGATTTCCTTAATAAACAACCTGTTGCCTGGCGCTTGTCTTCTGTTGTTACAACCCCACACGACTTTTCGCGAAAGTTTAAGTCGGAGTAGCCTTTTTCTATCAGTAGGTTCCATTCACCCCTTCATATCTTCCTGCAAAATAGTGGCAGTATGCATTTTCACTGTTTCTGGGGAAAATTCCATCTAATCCTTCTCGGCACTATGTTAACCTTTTGCAACTGTAACTCAGTAATAACTGAATGTTTAAAGGAATCAATCTTATTACATCAGAAACTCAAGTAAACTTAACTACATTCAGCTAATTCGACAGTTACTTCGAGAGTCTTTGAGATATTACAAAAAGCAGTTCTGTTAACTAATTTTCAATCATTTTATTAAACAAACAGAAACCAGGAGAATAAGAATGAGGAAGAACAAATGTGTATGTAATCAGAATGAAAAGTATGCAAACTTTTAAAATAAATTATTTTCATCAATGGATAATGTTTACGCTTTCACTCTCAACTGTAAAGATAAATGATGATATAATAATAAGGATTATTATTTTTACGAACTAAAAATAATGCGAAGACTAAACCAATAGGAAATCAATAGTATGATCAGTATTCACTAGTAGTTTTTAAAAGGTGTCAGAATGTTTTTGAATAACCCATCTTCATGCATTTTTCAGCAATACCATGATTCCGCCTATCATACTTTGATTGATGCATTGCTATAATCTCTTGAACTGTATGCGATCTACCTCGTGGAAAGAGTAGATAGATACCAGCGACAATAACAACAATAGAATAGAACCAACAGAACAATCTATCGATTGTCATCAACACCAATCGCCATTCTCTATCCCTTTGAGCAATTTCATCCTTTTTCGATATTTTAAGTATAACTTGTTTCAGTGCATTGCATAGATCGGATAAGTTGAACTCTAGCTGAATTGTTGGCCTTCTTGCATATCGTTTTAATTGTGTGCATTTCTTCACAATTTTGCTATCATTGCCACCATTTGTTATCTTTAATGCGTCTAACTTGAATTCTTGAAATTCATTAGTTGAACTGATGGGATAATCAGGGTGTGGGATGATTGATTGTTGTTTTTGTGGGTAATGAGGATAATGTTGTGGCTGTTGTTGTTGTTGTTGCTGATTTATTCGAGTCAGTGAATAACCACCATCCATACCCAGCGAGTAGGCTGATGTTGTATGCATTCCATCTTGTTGCATTAACAGTTGATATTTTTGCATCGGAGACAATTCATTGCCTTGAAATAATAAATACTTCTCCGGTGTTAAAGTCATATCACTAGGATATAACAAATCAGATTTCATTGGTGGTGTCGGTAACATTTGACGCTGGGATGATCGTGTATCAAGGAGATTATCTGATATGCTGGATCGCCTCAGCATTTTAGACGATTTTATTTTTGCTTCAACAACACTCAGTTTGTCATTGGTATCGTTGATTGACGGTTCAAGTTTTGAAACGTGTAAGAGTGTAGCGAAGAATCTTACCACCTAGTAAAGTAATTAAATGAAGAGGGAAACAAATGAAGAGAATCAGTGGAATTTTAAAATACAACGTAAATAAATTTTGATTATTCACTCCTGCCAGCTGAAGTGGAACTACTCTATCAGCCGGGAAACATCTCTGCGCTTACGAATGACTCTCAAAAGCTCTCGTTTTTGGACCTTACGTATTCTACTATCGAAATTATGCCTGACAACCTACTCAAAGCATGACAACACTTGAAAGTCTTCTCAGTACGTATGTTGAATCCATCCGTTATTTGTTGGTTGGGCAATTTGTTGTCGGCTAGCTCTGTCACTATCAGAGTTCTTTGTTGCTTATCGCATTTCTAAGCACCGGTGCAACCATCTGAAGGACGTACTGACCTAGTCAAACTCCCTGACTTATATGGTGCTTAGGTTGGATAGCGCATCACATCAAGACCCAAACACCATAATCTGCACCATGATTCACCTGATGTGACCATTTTTTTTTTTTTGATTTACAGCTTGACACTGACACACAGCGTTAGACCATGTATGTCAGCATTTTGAATAAGTAAAGACCTAGTGACAGAATTAGTAAATCTCAGACACCAGTCATCGAACCATCCAGTTCCCACCCATTTGACATCTGTCGTGTTTTTACAAAACGTGAATACAGCCAAGGTCCTCAGGGTCTTATTTCTCTGCTAATTATAACAAACTATTTTTGACTATTCTTTCTCTTTAATCCATTCCTGTGTGTCACTAAATAGATAGAGAGGCGTTTGTTTACGCAGGCCATCGAATGTAACTCGAATGGGAAACGAGTTTGGAGTAAGGGAGTGACATGAAGAAGGTCACCTTGCAAGGAAATAAAACACTTGTGGGAGTCATTTGTATAGTCAGTGTTCAAAGTGATGGCAAGGAACCGAATGGAATAAAGATGTGTCCTATGGCTACATCTATAAGGCCCACTAAGGATGCAGCAAATGACTGACTAATAGTGATAACAGCAATAACGACACAATCAGAAACAGGTATTGAATATGACTTACTGAGCATAAATCAACTCATATTAACAAATCAACTAACCTTAACCAGCCAGTGTGGTACGTGCTTAGATTTAACACGTTGAAAGTGTAAGTGCACAACAACTGTTGATGCAAATGTCGATAGACTCAGCAGTGTCATATTTAAGCAGTAAAAGTAACCTGAAAGAAGAGGAAAGAATAGATAAGGAAATTATAAGCAGAAATAAGTAATTATTTACTACAAAAAAGGGAGTTGGTGATAGGTTCAGACCATTTTGATTTGTCTGTTAATGATTCCAGCACATCTACTCGGTGTCCTGTGTCAATAAGGTATTTGGCGATTGAAGAGCTTAAACAATTCGGTCCATTCAACCAGAGGCTCCTTGGTACCTGTCTACGGGAGCAGTTACATTGGAAGAACAGAGAGGAGGGCCTATGTCAGATTCTGAGAACATGTACCAAGGAGCTTGCGGTTAAAGGGACCGAATTGTTTAAGCTCTTCCATCGCCAAACACCTGATTGATACAGGAAATCTTGATTTGATTTATTTTTCTGTGTGAGCGAGCACCTTGGACTTTGACTACATAATCCGAATAGTGTCATCGAGATATCCATTCAAGATGTTAATTTTCCGAAATGAAATAGATCAGTGCGGTCAGATATATCGATGGAAAATCACAAAGAATGAATACGAGATTTTCAAATAATAATACTCAATACACAACACATGACTCTATCGACCCAGTGAACAACATTTCGTCGACAGAAGTGATTGGTGCTGGGTTCGAGCGTGATTGGGAACATGATCACTCCCTGGGGACTGAGGATATCAAGATGAGGAGTTCCAAGTAGGGAGAATTCATATCACTTCGCCAACCTGGTTATCAATCACCATTCAAATCTGACTACTGACGCAAACCGATCAGTAATATTCAACGGTGCATATCTACTACCTTCAAGTCACAAAGCGGAGAAATTGCTATTCAACCACTGTGTTGGAATCCAATCACCAGTGAATTCTAACTTCTATCAGCTCATGCGTAATATTGTGCCATTGACAGCGGGTGACATTGAGAAACATATGCATCCCACTAACATGGTAAGTCCTACCAATCATAACTCCACAATTCTAAATTCGGGATGTCCATTTACCAGGATGCCAATAATAATTAGAAAGGTGATTTTTGAAACGTTTTGTTTACAATAATTTCGATGTATTTCCAGTTGTCAGATTTTCGTCAAGATCCAGCATCTGTAATAGAGATCATTGGGAACCAGGGAACATTAAACAGCCGTTTCCTCCTGTTTTGGAACTCCTCAGCATTCCGCACCCAGGACATTCTGGTCACGAAACCAAGCTCGTTAGCCATTCAGCCAATTTGGATGGAATTCAATGACATATGATTTCTAACCTATACAGCTGGTTTAGTATCCCTGCCTTCAACAATGCCTTCGATGAATATTCATTTCACCTTGAGATGGTGGATCCCGCTCATCACAACTTCCCAATTCAGTTTCAAGAAATCCATCCAGTTACCATCATTCATTTACCCATTGATATTCCATTTATACGGTACAGGTCGCATCTATGACTGATATCGATTCTTAATGCCATCTACACTGACAAAAACATCGACCAAACTCCCTCCAGAAGCCAAATAATCATAGAAATCCGATAGTTTTGATAATTTGTATTTGTTAATGTTGGTGTTGCAACTCCACGCATCATCATCGAACAAAGCATGGAATGGCAATCAATCTTAACTTTATAGACTTCGATAAGGCCTTTGATAGCGTTGAACGTGAAGTAATTTGGAAACTACTCGAGTACTACGGCGTACCCCAAATATTCATCAACCTTATTCAACAGCTAGCTGTACGACAACGGCACATGTCATGTGATCCACAACGGAAAACTCAGCGAGGAGTTTGGAGTAAACACAGGTGTCGGACAAAGGTGCTTGTTATCTTTCACCAATGATATTCCTAATTGTGGTGGACTGGATTATGCGTCAGACAGTGAGTGGGAAACGAGAAGAGAGGGATATCTTCGACTGACGTGAAGAACTTAGAAGACCTGAATTTCGCGCGTGGATGATTTATGTTCGATGTCACACACACAAAATTTAAGACTTACAAGCGAAAACCGACCGACAAACTGGTCGAAGAAGCAGCCGGCGAAGTCAGGACTCCATGTGAACATAGACAAGGCGGAGGTTATGAAAATAACCAACCAACCAACCAATAACAAGAACAACAGAAATACCCATCACCATCACCATCAACGGGAAGGATTTGAAAGAGGTCACTTCATTCACTCACTTATCTAGGGAGCGTTGTCTCAACTACAAGAAGTCGGAACGGACGAGGATATCAAATCGAGAATCGGGAAGGCGAGCGAGAAACACATTCATCAACCTGAAACCAATCTTCGTCACTCAGCCAGCATCAGCGACAAAATTCGGTCGGATTTTCAGTACAAACGTCAAGTCAGTCAGTTCTTGTATACGGATCAGAAACTTGGCGGGTGGGTCACAAAGAATATTTCCAACAGCCTGTTACAGACCTACATCAATAACTGTCTTTGCTCTATGCTAAAGATTAGATGGCCGGGTCGGAATGAATCACGAACAAGAAACTATGGGAACAAACAAAACAAGAACCAATCGCCCAACAAATATGCAGGAGAAAGTGGAGATGCATTGGACTCGCTGAGGAGGCCACTGGATGACATCACGCGCGCGTCAGGCCATTGCCCCAGTAGAACCCGAAAGGAATGCACGCGGCGAGGGGGACGTCAGTGCACGGGTAACATGGAGGAGATGGTGTGAAGAGGAGTTGAAACAGTCTGGACTAACATGGATGTAGGTGAAAAGTACAGCAGAAGACAGAAGCAAGTGGAGATGTGGAGTTGAAGCCCTATGTTCCACTAGGAACCCAAGGGAACAATAATGGTAATAATGTTGGTGTAGTAGTAGTTAGTGTACATACGTGTATGTCTGTGTTTATTAAGTATCTAATTTGTAGATGTTGTTGTTTTTCTGTGCTTAGAAGCTTCTGTAGCTGTGTTGTTTTTGGTTTGCAAGGTGGAGTTGCTATAGCCTAACACCCAACCTTCCTTCTGTACAAGACTTACTACTGCTTGTAAACTAAGTTAATTTTCTAAGGAGTGCATCGGAGATTATGAGTTGAATCTGAACCTTCTGCGTGGCAGCTGCAGACTATTCTTCTACTGAGCTACTGACCCTGCATTGTAAACCATCACGAAGAACTAAAGTCTACGCCAGGTTACTTCCTCATATCGAATTTCTGCCCCATCTGCTCTTGTCAGTTTTATTTTATAATTCTGGAAAAAAATAACTAATGCAAACAGACATACACTTAGATAGCCTTTTTTACCTTATTTTTATTGTCATTCAATTTTAATTCACTTCTAATCACTCCAACTACCACCTTTCCAGCTGCAATAAAATTCGTACTACTTATTAAATAGTAAGTAATACGAATTAGATAAAGCAATAAGAAGATGTATTTTATTAAGTCATATTGAAACAATTACTTCCCTTTATGAATTTAGACAAAGCAATAAGAAAGGTTTTGGTATTTCCCAATGAATGAAAAACAAAATGATATTGTTTTTACTGACGTTTCGCTATTTAATGCTAATAGCTTTATCAAAATATTATTATTATTATTTATTATTATTATCAAAGTATTATAAAGCAATAAGAAGACGTATTTTATTTGAATCGTGTATTGTATATTTGGGCAAAATACTTCGAACAATCTAATCACACACGGACTTGTCATAGGAATATACGCGTGTGAAATTAATAAAGAGGTAAGAGGTGAGAAAATAGACTACTTAGGTTAAGTTAAAAGGACAAATTCAAGGTCAAAACAACAATGAAGATCAATCACTAAACCAAATAGCATAGGTAATAGTACATCTGCTATGGTATCAAAACGAAATTTACCAACGAAGGCGGTTTAGTGCGATGACGAATTGTTGCCTTGAACGCATAAAGGTGGTTTAAACTCTCTAATTCCTAGCTAGGGCTTCCACAAACTTTGGGATACGCCCCAAACCCGTTTTATAGATAGGTTTAAAAGATGTGTTAATGTCAATTTCATGTCTTGTCTGTATAATGTTTTTCTCAGTAGAGGAGCCATGTCTCCTGTTCTCACCATAAATGGGTTCTGAGGTTTCCATTTGTTTCTGGAGCCATTTAGGCGTATGCTCTGAAGCCCTTACTCGCAGAGATCGATGAGTCCTCCCCATGTATGTGTGTCCACACGTACATCCAAATTGGTGAATACAGGGCATATTCCTTAATGGATCCAGAAACAAATGGAATCTTCAGAATCTATTAACGGTGAAAACAGCTCTTCTATTGCGAAGCATATTATAGAGATAGGATATAAAATTGAAGTTAACACATCTTTTAAACCTATCTATAAAACGGGTTTGGGGCGTATCCCAAAGTTTGTGGAAGCCCTAGCTAGGAATTAGAGAGTTTAAACCACCTTTATGCGTTCAAGGCAACAATTCGTCATCGCACTAAACCGCCTTCGTTGGTAAATTTCGTTTTGATACCATAGCAGATGTACTATTACCTATGCTATTTGGTTTAGTGATTGATCTTCATTGTTGTTTTGACCTTGAATTTGTCCTTTTAACTTAACCTAAGTAGTCTATTTTCTCACCTCTTACCTCTTTATTAATTTCACACGCGTATATTCCTATGACAAGTCCGTGTGTGATTAGATTGTTCGAAGTATTTTGCCCAAATATACAATACACGATTCAAATAAAATACGTCTTCTTATTGCTTTATAATACTTTGATAATAATAATAAATAATAATAATAATATTTTGATAAAGCTATTAGCATTAAATAGCGAAACGTCAGTAAAAACAATATCATTTTGTTTTTCATTCATTGGGAAATACCAAAACCTTTCTTATTGCTTTGTCTAAATTCATAAAGGGAAGTAATTGTTTCAATATGACTTAATATTTTATTCAGCATCTTGTTACTCCATAACAATAGTTAATCAATTCGATTGGAAAAGAGTTAGGTAGAGGTAATCGAATTAAAACATGACATCAAACCATGAAGTTTTCGGACTTTTCGACTTGGTCAGTCACGTGAGGAGTTATTGACAGTGAGAACTCCAAGGGCATGGGGTTGTTCGTGACATGCTTCGAAATGGTTATCTGTGGTGCAAATGCAATCAGTCTTCATGATCCTCGACGTCCATTAAATTTTTTCATCACTCTCGGGGTAATACTTATTCTTCCCACGGCATATTTCACCTGCAACTTTTCTCTTTACATTTCTTGTATGTTACATAAAAGTTTGACCTTTGAACTGGTTCGATCGTGTGAGAAATTCTACGTGGAAAACTTAGTCATGGTGTGCTTAATGTCTGTCAGAAGGTTTCTAACAGCTGCTTACATTTTCAAGCACAATTATTCTTAAAGATCTTATGATACTTCATGTCTGGTTGAAATACTGATTAGGTGGAGTACAATTCTAACCTAACCTCGTGATCAGAAGAAGAGAGTGTATGGGAGTATTATTGATATAAGTGTATAAAACTTGGGCACTGTGATGGTAGAGTATAACTCCATTATGGATAAGATTTTATTTTGATAAATCACACAGTATTGTTATACAGTAATACTAACTGATGACCACGTCTCGAGCACAAACTACTGCTCAGTTGATATTACTGAATAACACTGTGTGATTTACCAAAATGAAATCTCATCTGTAGTGGAATGTATGGGAGTACCTAGGAGAAAAGGAGTAATGCTTCCTGGTTGTCTTTAACATCCCCATCTATGCCGTTGACTATAGGTTGGAAAGATGTTACTCAGATAATAAGTAAAAAAATAGACGGGTTCTTTTAGATTTCGCCTGTTGTTGATGATGGTGAGTGTTTGTTATTGTTGGTCAGTCGGTCATCACTCTAGTGTAACTTCAGAAAGGTGGATTACGAAAACTGTTTCACACCGCCATTCATCGCTTTTTTACACTCCAAAATTTGTCCTAGTGACAAAAGACGACGCTTCAACTAAATGCTAGGAAAATTACTTTCTTTCGCTTAACACTGTAGGACATTTCCTTTCTACCTGCAATACTATCACAGTAGACACGGGTGAACATTCCACTAATGACACAAAATTACATTTATAATCAGATTGTCCAAAACGCATTACACTAATACCTTATATATCTGCTATATATATATATGTATTAGACATGTTTGTTGATATGATAAATGAGAGATGTCCACTGATGTTGATGTCGTTTCCGTTTATGGATAAAATATCCCTAGGCTTCTACATTTGCTTAAAGCTGAAAATAGTGGATTCATGGTAATCTAATTATACTAAATATGTTCATATATATATATATATATATATATATATATATATATATATATATATAGTAATGAAACACCTGAAATGTAAATTGAGCATTTATTTATTGTTAATAGGCGATATTATTGTGCACACTAAGGCTGAGGAATGACTACATCTTTTTATAGATTGGGATGCTGGATGGCTATTTCGTCTAAGCCTAGGACTCTTCATCGGCACACTCATATAACCGCACTGAAAATCTAGCCGTAGAATTTCAGATGACGCAATGAGCTCACTAACCATTCAGTTAAACTGTCCTTCTGTTTTACAGATTTACTACCCGCTGAATCATCATCAGTCTTGGAGCCAGCTGAAGAGGACGACACCAAGTAGAACAAGTTGGAGATGTGTTGTTGAGGCCCTACGTTCTACTTGGAACCCAAGAGAATTATAATAATAATAGTATTGAGCCAGTACATCGGCAGGGAGCCTCTAATCACGCAGGAAGTCAGGAAGCACCTCCAGTAAACTGCTCCACGTTAAGTGGACAGTAGTAAAATTGTAAAAGGTTAGGTGTTGGGTGATTCCATTCTGTAAAAAGCAACATCACCGCCAGTGAAACTGCATGGCTCAAAGCCTGAAACTACAGGTTCCATTCGGAAAACAAGGGAGTGACAGTAAAATATTACATATATGTATGTATAAGTTAGAATTTAAAAATGTTAGGAGACTTACCCAAGTAGGGCACGATAGTTGACGCAGATGGCGTAGAATTAGCAAGTATTTTTAACAACAAAGAGAATGCCACAAATATGTTCATGCCTGTTTTTTTTGAAAAATAAAATAACTTGCAAAATATTTGGCAATACGTAAAAGAAAATGGAAAATAAATGTCTTCGCCTGGTTTTGTCTTATTGCATATACTCATATTTTATGGAGCGAAGCTTGTCAGTATACACTTTTCTGTACTGACTTCAAGATGCTGGCGCATTACATACTTTTATTGTATCTTCTTGCTGATCTAGGTGACTGGCTAGATTGGAAAGCATCTTTTTTTTACACAATTCTACCATTGAAACACCGATGCCATTACATCACAGCTATCTCAGATAGTCTCAACATCAACCTACTTCTCTCCTTTTTTTCTTATTCATTACAATTACGATCGAGAAAGTTCATCGGTATTTCCGGAGTGGAATGCTCATGGGGTTCAACTCCGGAGCTACTCGATCCTTTACTATGTAGCTGGTAGTTAGCTAAGAAAAGAAGGCAGATAGGGCGTAAGACTAGCAATCTTATCATGTAAAAGCAACACAGGCTGTCATGTAACTTCAAAGCTTAGAGCTTGAAGTCCTGTGTCCCCCCTCGGAACACAAAAGTATGAAAAAGAAAGGACTGAGAAGAGATGTGGCGGATGCAGATACATTCTAGCCGATCAGTCACGCACAGCGAGACGGAAAGCGTCTGATTTGGATTCCACTGATAAGCATTTCTACCACAACCAGTACAAATTACATATTACGACATCATCAACAGTCAGATTATTTTCTGTTTGCTTTGCATTCACGCTGAAAACTGTATATATTTCCCCTGGATAATTATATGGTTATTATGAGTGAAAGTAAATTATCTTCCGTGTGTTGACGTCAAACCATGGAACTTGGAAATTCGATATTTCTTTCCATTTGTCAGGTGGGTAGTACAATTTCCTAGATACGTAAATGCGCAGGTGCTGAATCATTTCTATTTCATGTATTCACAGTTAGATTTGACAAAAAAAGCTTCACTAAGTCATGTCACCATCCCCCCGCCGTCCTGTTATACCTAGATATGAAGTCTGACTCTGTCCTATCCTGCTCAAGGGTTATGCTATAGTTCAGCCTATTTTTTAGATTTTTCATCTCAATGGTGTCTACTAGTCTAGATTTTGCAGTGCTTTTGTTTTCCGTTAGTATAACTTACCGCTGTCGTTGACCTCGAAACTAAACTAAATCACTTCGTTCAGTAAGCCTAGCAAGGATCCTTTAACAGACACGATTTGTCACTAAGTGAGTCTGTGGATGACTGAATAACAGTTGTTATGATTCTTATGGAGTGTTTCAGGGGTGACCTGTTTGTATGATAATAATGGAGAGAGAGAGAGATACCTGGAGCTTTATTTATCTAAATAACCGTTGTACAACAGAAGGCAAGACACGGAAGCCAGGGTATATTTCACCTGATCAGTGTTATACTCTCCAACCAGTCACTGAGTGTGTGATTTTGGCTTCCACTAATCGACGTGAAATTGAATGTTCAAATGCATAGTATTCTGTTGCTAATGGCGAATTTAACTCTGGGAATATGTGAGAATAATATTCTGTTGGAACACATTGTCTGTATCACACCACCACACCATGAATACTAGGGAGATGAGTGTTTCTAACTTAAACCGTGAATCGACATCAGTCAGAGAACCATTGGAACGCATGAAGTTCTTTGAAGGCTTACTCCATCCTAGCTTGACTCTGATTCTTCGACAACACTCAATCATTACAGAACCACCAGCGACAGTACCCGACACCTTTGGGTTACGCTAAGAGCTCGTTGGTCATTCAGTCACTGACAAGGAATTGTTATGTACTCGTCGCCAAATTATTGCTATGTACTGGTCGAGAATTTAATAGTCCTGACGCAAGAAAGACTGAAATCAGAAGACCACTAGGTTTGCGATGATACTTCTATTTTCCAAACACAAGGAGAATCAAATGTTGTCACACAAGAGTGTGAGAGCAAAATATATATGAATGTCCAAACAAGTGTGTGAACAAATCAATAGACAGTCTTAACATGATTGGCTAATTATAATGGAGTATCGATCCATATATACATAGCAAAATATATCAGACTGTCAACAAACACACATATTATATATAATATAAGGGGAATATACATTGTTAAAGGAGACAAGTTCATCAAAGTGAAATGGTCACAGACTAAGAGAGCAACAGAAAGAGAGACCACCACACATATATATATACATATCAGGAATCCAACAGCCTATGAATTCTAACTTCTGCAGTACACAGAGCCACCACCGACATGTCATCAGCGACCGACCCGACTTGCTGGACCCCACTGATTGCAGCTTGGAATGCATTTCATATAAGGATAATACATGCTTGATGAATATATTTGCTGAAATACACAGTGATCAATCTCCTCCTACCTATATTACTTTTTTAGATTTCGAGTCTGCCCCACCCAGCCTATTGCGTGGTTGTGTGTTAATGCACGCAGTGCGACTGCTGAGTGCTTTTTTTCTAAATAACTTATCTTCGCGCATTAGAATGACTGACTCTGCAAAGATAAGTAATTTAGAAAAAAGCTCAGCAATTGCAGTGCATGCATTAATACACAACCACACAATAGGGTGGGAGAAGATTAAAATTCTAAGAAGTAATCTATGTAGGTGGAGAGAGAGAGAGAGAGGCTGATTACTTAATCCATGTTCATCGAGTCTATACCCAACATAAGCAGTATAAGTGATTCAATGCAAATACCAGAGATATGCATGGAAGATATTATTATATCATAATGGATAATGAATAGCGTTAAAATTTATTTCAATTCACATGATAACAAACACATTATAACATCTCATTTCCCCCATTATTGACTAACAACACTCGTCTTACATCCCATCGTATTATATTTTACTGATAACACTAATAGTATTTCTGAATGTACTTTGTATTCCTTTCTATTTCACTCCTGTCTTTTATTGATTTTGCTCATATGACTAATCAGTTTTGCTCATGTATACAAATGAAGCAAGGAAGTTGTGTGAGTAGTATCTTGATATGATTATTAGTGGCAATAAATTGTACTCGAAACGTGGTCACATCAGTAAATATTACTGCATAACACACTGGGTGTGATTTTATCAAAATAAAATTTTGTTCCATAATGGTATTAATATAAATATTGAAAGTAATATAAAACTTGATAATACCGCTACTTAAAGGAGGGATAGCAGAGACCCTATTTAAAAACAGAATCAGGGTGGCGCTGAAACCAACCAAATACCAAGATACAAACTTTGTCGGCTTAAGGACATGGTAGATTCCGGTGAGGAAAAATAATGTCTTGAACAGCTCCCACCCTAATATTAAGTTTACAATGGAGTACGAAAAAGAAGAGAAGTTCCATTTCCTGGATTTGGGTATCCAACGAGATAAAGACGGAAAAATCATAAGATATATACACAGAAAAGAGACCTGGAGGGCGGTTTATCTAAACTTCAAAAGCTTCTGCCCTATGAGTTACAAAAAGGGATTGGTGAGAAGATTATTTGATTGTGTGACGAAACTGTGTTCAGAAGAAAAGATTGAGGAAGAGCTATCCATTGTGAAGAAATGCCTACGCGACAACAGTTACCCACAAAAGTTCATCGACAAGTATGGGAGACGTCATGTTGAAAAAGTGAAAAGCAACACCGTAAATAAAAAGCCTATCTTTCTGCAGCTTGCATTCAAAGGTAATGATACTGCTAGTAGAATAAGATGCAGACTGAATGCTGCCCTGAAAAAAACATATCCAGCCGCCAAAGCTTGTATGTGTTTATCAAACAACTAGTTGTTTGAGGCAATCAACTCAACTCATGTTACCTCCAACAGCGTCTACCGATTTGCATGTACGTGCCAAAGCGCATATATTGGAAGAACAGAGAGAAGGGTTAGTGTCCGCATCTATGAATACATACCAAAGAACTTTAGACTGAAAGGTCCGCAAGCATTAAACAGTGTTATTGCTCGTCATCTATTGGATACTGGTCATATTGTAGACAACCTGAAGTCGTTTAAAATAATCAACAAGCAAAAGAAACCTAGTTTGCTACGCTTTGCTGAAGCAATTGCCATCAAACGACTTAAACCAAATCTATGTATGCAGAAAGAGACAGTGGTGAATCTTGCACTGCCCTGGTGATAACAAAAAAAAATATACAACTTTCATGAGTCACCTTTTTCATGTTTAGATAACTCTACTCTCTCATCTAAACATGACTCACCCTACCTTGTTTCTTTTCTTTCCTTTTTTCTATTGGCTATTAGACAAGATGCTTTCTTTAGTTACGTAATCTACCTCTTTGTTATGCTCTTTCTAGCTAAACCTTGTTTCTACACACACACGCACACACATATATATACACAATCCTGGTTTTTGTTTCCAAGCCTAATTGTCTAATTATTCTATAAATAGTCAGTGTTTGTAACTCCTAATCATCAGTTAAATCATTCCGGACTAATGTTAATTTTACTTCCTACCAATTACTCCTTATGATGTGAGTCGGTGGTATAGCGGTTAGGACGCTCGCCGACCATGCACATGGTCCGGGGTTCGATCTCCGGCCGACGCACTCCTTTACCTCTCTAAGCCAGAAGTAATGATGATAAAGAGGAAAGGTTTGGCATGGGGCTAGCAACCCCATCCTGTAAAATAAACACTGCTAGAGAAACTTCAAGCCACTAGCTTGAAGCCGTATGTTCCACTGGGAACGTCAAGGAAAACAACCCAGTCCAAACTCCTTATGATCGTGGAAAAGTATGTTCATATCTTTAATGTAATTCATATTTTTTAACGTTCAGGTTGTAACCAGTTGAGAAGAATCCTCGAAATAATAAAAGATGAGGTCATATCATCCTGGTACAATTGTTGTTCTTGCTTTGTTCAAGTTTATTAATGGGAAGAATTGCATGAAGTTTTTAAAAATAATGTAACCCACCAAATACCATATAATGATTCTCAGGTCAATATGACAAAGATCAAACTAGTGGGACGGGATCACTTAATTTGTCAGAGCACATGTATTTCAGTAATCCCGAATAAATCTGTGCTATTCTTATGCATTCCCTAGCATGTAATCATACAATAAGGTGGTGAGATAGAGTAGAAGTATTAAAAAGCAATACAACTACGTGGAAAGAGGTTAATCTTCTTCGAATCCATATTCATCAAATCAACACTGAACACGCGTAACCAAAATGATGCCACACCAACCCTAGATATTATGGAGAACTACAGTGAAAAAACAACCCAGAGGGATGGGGTAAAGCATTTAAAAAATTAGTTAGGAAATTGTGACAAATGCCACTGTAATTATCATTTACAGGGTTTTTCTTTCAGAGATGATCACAAATCATAATTACAAAACAATTGTCAAAATTTTAACTTACTTAAAATCATCTTAGCTGGGATTTGCGGTGGCAGCCAAAATATCACTGTTGTGATCACGCTCAACAAAACACATGGAAACACTAACAAGTATCCATAGAAGGCAGGATTACGTTTCAAGCTGTAATAGAGAAATATGTAGGTGAGTTATAAACCGCAACTATTTGTATAAATAGTTTTGTGTAAATTAAGGACTGAAAGAAGAAAGCAATTAATTTCTATTATATATGCAGAATAGTAATGATAACAAACATTGTATTTCAGGTAACAATGGTAATTATACAGGTTTGTATTCTTCAGCACTGTGCATAAATCAGACATCTATTTAACTCTAAACCTCGTCTAGTTAACTAGCTTGCTAGTTTTCTAGCCGCCCCCAAGCCTTGGTAAAGAGGGAGGGTGTTGAGCACGGAGCTAACGACCCAACACCACAAAAGCTATTCAACTGCTAGAGAAACTTCAACGTACAGAAAATATTTGAAAATGCAAAAAATTCAAATACTAGTCTCATCTATCAAGTATTGCTCTTGGTTACAGGATTTCATCATGAGCTGATATCGGTTAAAGAATCATTGGAAAACCTATCAGGGAGTACTGGGTAGCTGTTTTGTCTTAGTCCGCGACTCTTCATCAGTATGGATGCACCGGGGGTTTTGACCCAAGACCTTCTGGTTACAAGACCAGCTTGACGATCTACAAGTTCGAGTACTGGGTGGGTGCTTACTGACGAAAAGTCTCAAAATAGGACGAAACGACTGTCCAGTACTACTACCACGTTTTTCAGTGGTTCTCTAACCGAAGTCAGCTCATGATGAAATCCTGTAACCAAACTTATTCTTCACTGGAATCAGAGAGGTGAAATGAAGCGGGCCGATTGGTGGAAGCCTTTGGGAGGCCAGTCAGACATTTATTTACTTGTTACAAATAAATAAAATTCTGGTAATAACTTGCTTTTAATTACGGATTATAAAACAGATTTATCAGCAGCTTTTCTTCCACTTATCACTTCCCACAACACCCATGTCAAATGTGGTAATAGTTGAATTTTTATATGCACTAGCCGTACATGAATAATTTTCAACAAAATATCTTCTAGTTTTATCCGAAGATATATACAAGGAGAAAGTTGCCAATAGTGGAAAGGATGCTCAGTATCTGACATGATGGCTTTAGCCAATTGTTTGCAAGAATTAAAATACGCCTGTTAACAACAAATGCCACTTAGTTGGGTCAAAGACAAACTAACCCTGCTAACTACAGCCTTCAGTGTAACATTGTTGCTCTTCTGAAAAGCTCACGGAAGAATAAAGAGGGGAACAATAAAAAAGAATGTGTAGAATACATGAATTACTAAATATTTTAACAGAAGTGGTTGAGTTATGCTGAGAAGTCTCAACTTCTTTAAGTGATAAATTAAAAGAAAGATGTTTTTTGCTTAGAAATCAACCAGCTGTCTTTGCTTCATACTGGAGTCCAGATGGCCAGCCAGAAAGGACTGGCATCAAGGAACTTTAGTAAGACAGCAGCCAAGGATCTGTTTCCTAACAAATATACAGGTGCCAATGGAGATGGACTGGACACACGCTGAAAACGCTGTTGAATGATACCATGCGCCAGGCATTCAAGGGGAACCAAAATGAAAGACAACAAGTTGGACATGCGTCCAAGGATGGCATAGACGAGGTCTTATAAGGTGGCAGCAGAATCCTATAGGCAATCATGAAGCCAGGTGAAAGTGGTTGGAGACAACAGGATGAAATGGAGAGATACTGTTGAGGTCCTAAGTTCCACCTGGAAACCAAGGGAATAGCAATACACGACTGCACACAATTCACTAGTTAAGGCGGAGATTCACATCGTTGATCTTGTAATCCCAAGCCAAAGTAAAATTAGTATATATATTCTTGAATACTTTATATTCATTTCTCCCTATTTCATACTGCCTATGATATCCAATAAGACAGCTTCTCTCGTATACTTGTGAAAAGAATAAAATAAAACAGAAAAAAATTTTTTAAATAACTAAATCCAACTAAATTTACTTACTAAATTTTTCATACTTGAAATGATGTGGTTTCAAATAATAATATAAATAAATTGACAAAGTAGGAAATTGAACATTTAACGTTTGCCTGTTTGTTTATCCGCATGAGTTGATGTATGTATGCACAGACAGACGAACGCGTGTACATACACACACAGAGAAATACATAAAGAATTAGATATATGCCTTAATTTGAGGATTTCCACACTACTTACTGCATAATCTGAGTTTACTGTATACCCGTAATTTACATATATATGTATATATGTGTGTATTCCGTTATTTTCCAGAATTATCTTGATTTAATCCACTCGTGTTTATTTTACAGGCAAAAATAATTGGTTTTCTCCTTTTGAAGAGATTTACACTTCACATTTTCAAGATCTCTCGCATCATAATCCTCGTAGTAGTAGTAGTAGTAGTAGTAGTAGTAGTAGTAGTAGTAGTAGTAGTAGTAGTAGTAGTAGTAGTAGTAGTAGTAGTAGTAGTAGTAGTAGTAGTAGTAGTAGTAGTAGTAGTAGTAGTAGTAGTAGTAGTAGTAGTAGTAGTAGTAGTAGTAGTAGTAGTAGTAGTAGTAGTAGTAGTAGTAGTAGTAGTAGTAGTAGTAGTAGTAGTAGTAGTAGTAGTAGTAGTAGTAGTAGTAGTAGTAGTAGTAGTAGTAGTAGTAGTAGTAGTAGTAGTAGTAGTAGTAGTAGTAGTAGTAGTAGTAGTAGTAGTAGTAGTAGTAGTAGTAGTAGTAGTAGTAGTAGTAGTAGTAGTAGTAGTAGTAGTAGTAGTAGTAGTAGTAGTAGTAGTAGTAGTAGTAGTAGTAGTAGTAGTAGTAGTAGTAGTAGTAGTAGTAGTAGTAGTAGTAGTAGTAGTAGTAGTAGTAGTAGTAGTAGTAGTAGTAGTAGTAGTAGTAGTAGTAGTAGTAGTAGTAGTAGTAGTAGTAGTAGTAGTAGTAGTAGTAGTAGTAGTAGTAGTAGTAGTAGTAGTAGTAGTAGTAGTAGTAGTAGTAGTAGTAGTAGTAGTAGTAGTAGTAGTAGTAGTAGTAGTAGTAGTAGTAGTAGTAGTAGTAGTAGTAGTAGTAGTAGTAGTAGTAGTAGTAGTAGTAGTAGTAGTAGTAGTAGTAGTAGTAGTAGTAGTAGTAGTAGTAGTAGTAGTAGTAGTAGTAGTAGTAGTAGTAGTAGTAGTAGTAGTAGTAGTAGTAGTAGTAGTAGTAGTAGTAGTAGTAGTAGTAGTAGTAGTAGTAGTAGTAGTAGTAGTAGTAGTAGTAGTAGTAGTAGTAGTAGTAGTAGTAGTAGTAGTAGTAGTAGTAGTAGTAGTAGTAGTAGTAGTAGTAGTAGTAGTAGTAGTAGTAGTAGTAGTAGTAGTAGTAGTAGTAGTAGTAGTAGTAGTAGTAGTAGTAGTAGTAGTAGTAGTAGTAGTAGTAGTAGTAGTAGTAGTAGTAGTAGTAGTAGTAGTAGTAGTAGTAGTAGTAGTAGTAGTAGTAGTAGTAGTAGTAGTAGTAGTAGTAGTAGTAGTAGTAGTAGTAGTAGTAGTAGTAGTAGTAGTAGTAGTAGTAGTAGTAGTAGTAGTAGTAGTAGTAGTAGTAGTAGTAGTAGTAGTAGTAGTAGTAGTAGTAGTAGTAGTAGTAGTAGTAGTAGTAGTAGTAGTAGTAGTAGTAGTAGTAGTAGTAGTAGTAGTAGTAGTAGTAGTAGTAGTAGTAGTAGTAGTAGTAGTAGTAGTAGTAGTAGTAGTAGTAGTAGTAGTAGTAGTAGTAGTAGTAGTAGTAGTAGTAGTAGTAGTAGTAGTAGTAGTAGTAGTAGTAGTAGTAGTAGTAGTAGTAGTAGTAGTAGTAGTAGTAGTAGTAGTAGTAGTAGTAGTAGTAGTAGTAGTAGTAGTAGTAGTAGTAGTAGTAGTAGTAGTAGTAGTAGTAGTAGTAGTAGTAGTAGTAGTAGTAGTAGTAGTAGTAGTAGTAGTAGTAGTAGTAGTAGTAGTAGTAGTAGTAGTAGTAGTAGTAGTAGTAGTAGTAGTAGTAGTAGTAGTAGTAGTAGTAGTAGTAGTAGTAGTAGTAGTAGTAGTAGTAGTAGTAGTAGTAGTAGTAGTAGTAGTAGTAGTAGTAGTAGTAGTAGTAGTAGTAGTAGTAGTAGTAGTAGTAGTAGTAGTAGTAGTAGTAGTAGTAGTAGTAGTAGTAGTAGTAGTAGTAGTAGTAGTAGTAGTAGTAGTAGTAGTAGTAGTAGTAGTAGTAGTAGTAGTAGTAGTAGTAGTAGTAGTAGTAGTAGTAGTAGTAGTAGTAGTAGTAGTAGTAGTAGTAGTAGTAGTAGTAGTAGTAGTAGTAGTAGTAGTAGTAGTAGTAGTAGTAGTAGTAGTAGTAGTAGTAGTAGTAGTAGTAGTAGTAGTAGTAGTAGTAGTAGTAGTAGTAGTAGTAGTAGTAGTAGTAGTAGTAGTAGTAGTAGTAGTAGTAGTAGTAGTAGTAGTAGTAGTAGTAGTAGTAGTAGTAGTAGTAGTAGTAGTAGTAGTAGTAGTAGTAGTAGTAGTAGTAGTAGTAGTAGTAGTAGTAGTAGTAGTAGTAGTAGTAGTAGTAGTAGTAGTAGTAGTAGTAGTAGTAGTAGTAGTAGTAGTAGTAGTAGTAGTAGTAGTAGTAGTAGTAGTAGTAGTAGTAGTAGTAGTAGTAGTAGTAGTAGTAGTAGTAGTAGTAGTAGTAGTAGTAGTAGTAGTAGTAGTAGTAGTAGTAGTAGTAGTAGTAGTAGTAGTAGTAGTAGTAGTAGTAGTAGTAGTAGTAGTAGTAGTAGTAGTAGTAGTAGTAGTAGTAGTAGTAGTAGTAGTAGTAGTAGTAGTAGTAGTAGTAGTAGTAGTAGTAGTAGTAGTAGTAGTAGTAGTAGTAGTAGTAGTAGTAGTAGTAGTAGTAGTAGTAGTAGTAGTAGTAGTAGTAGTAGTAGTAGTAGTAGTAGTAGTAGTAGTAGTAGTAGTAGTAGTAGTAGTAGTAGTAGTAGTAGTAGTAGTAGTAGTAGTAGTAGTAGTAGTAGTAGTAGTAGTAGTAGTAGTAGTAGTAGTAGTAGTAGTAGTAGTAGTAGTAGTAGTAGTAGTAGTAGTAGTAGTAGTAGTAGTAGTAGTAG